CGCGAAGGTTTATTTATAAGCCGCGGCCGAGTGTTAAGATAATAGACGCTCGCAGAGTTCGCGAGAATATTACGCGCGAAGATACGGAACTTGAGCTCGCGAGAAAGAACGGGAAGGAGAGAACGGCAGAGCGGGGGCAGAACGTACAATGGGCTCCATATCGGGGTGAGCACTGATGAAACTTTGCCCGGTGCCACGCGGAAACACGGAATTTCTTAACTGCCGCGCGACCGCGAGACACAACCGCGAGGCAGATTGCATCTGCATCTTGCCGAGTATTAAATGTTAACGTCGATGGTTCTGCTTGGGCGGAGTTCGCGCTCGCGACCTGGGGCGCTAGATACGACACAACCACTCATTTTCGACTATTCGATATTGCCTGGGATATTCTGGATTAAGCTCCGTCTGTAGCACGCGATGGCTCATGGGCGGAAGTTACCGTTCTCGCGACGCGGAAACAAGATACTGTTGATCACTTTAGTTTGGGGATACCGTTACTTCCGCGATGGCATATCATTTACAGTGCTTGAAATTAGTTGCACTTCCGAGGCAATTTTCGAGATCCACGACTACTTTCTACTTTTTATCTCTGAAACGCCGCGCTTAGACGCTCAGGACCGTCAACTTCATAAGACCTGCCGGACTCTCTCTAATTTCTGAGAAGTTCTTATTGAAACTGGTATTTTTTCGTTGAGATTATAATAATATAAATGCATCGGTGGCACACACACATAAATAAACATATAAGAATAAGACATGATATCATATAGAAACAACGCGCGTGATAAGAACTTTTCAAAAATTTTCAAATACCGCAAATCTTATGAAATTGACGGTCCTGAGACTGGTCGCCAATTGCACGGTCCACGGCTGAGAGGGAGAGGTAAGAGTAGAGTTCCTCAAGTAAAAATTAGGGCACTGTTCGCCATTTATAGAGGAGTAAGTAAGTGAGAGAGAAGCTGCAGTGTGCCTTGTCATTTTAGTCTTAGATCTCCTTTCTCACCACAACTCACATTACTCCTGAAGATGGCGGACAGGATGCAGATTCATTAGAAATGCCTTGTCCTAACTTTGATTAGAGTAATTAGGTCTGAACATACAAAAGAACTTAAGCACGTAAACGTAAGAAAATTGATTAATCACAATCGATTATTCTTGAATTGCAAGAAGAAAGAATTGGCTATGACTCATTTTAATAAATTTTCTTACTACTTAAGTTTTTCTGTGTGTACAGGCCCTAAGAGCCATGGTACATAGAAAAACTTAAGCAGTAAAATATATGCAGTAAGCAAATTGACCAATCACAGTCGCGATTTTTCTTATGGTCCAAGAATCAACGACTGTGATTGGTTAATTTGCTTACTGCTTACATCTTACTGCTTAAATTTTTCTGTGTACCATGGCCCTAATTCTAAACGCGACCGCGATCAGAACGACCGCGTGGTAAGCGATCAGCTGATGTGACACGGGAGTGGGGGAAAGCCATTACACCACGTTACGCGTGTGTTACGAGATGACGAAACGCGGCCTTGTCCTTCCCCCCACGTTGCGGGACTCTGAAGTAAACCTACCCAAAAATTACATTCTGATTTCTTTCTAATTTAGCACAAACGTAGAAATACAAAAAATATTTAGGTTATATTTTTTTATTTTGGTCTATATACTTTGAATTTCACAGGCAATTTATAAGTTTTTAATGTTCTCACTCCTATCATCAAAAAGGATAACAAAAATATATAAGAAATACAAGATATAGACGTTTTTTATTTGCCAATTATGAACATGGAGTTAAATGTGTAAAATTATTTGTATAAATAATAAAATGTTTAAACAAAACATGTAAAAAGTTAAAAAAAATTATTTATACAAATAATTTCTCGGTTTAACCGAGATTCAAATCATTTTTGACTAATTTAACATAGGTTTGAAATATTTTGGTTGGAATCTCGGCTCAAGAAATTTTAAATGGTTCGTATCTCAACTATGCCGATTTTGTTAAAATTTTAATTAAAGTTACCGGATTTTTCTCTCTCGGTTTGGATGAGATTCGAATCATTTTTGACTAATTTAGCACAGATTTAAAATATTTCGGTTGGAATCTTGGCTAGAGAAATTTAGAATGGTTCGTGTCTTAGTTATGCCGATTTTGTTAAAATTATTTAACTATATCTTGTATTCAATTTTATTTCTTATGCATTTTTGTTATACTTGTTGATGGTAGGAATGAGAACATTAAAAAGCTATAAACTGCCCGTGAAACTCAAAATGGGCCAAACTGAAAAAATATTACCTAAATTTTTTTATACTTTTACATTTGTGCCAAATTAGAAAGAAATGTATCTTTTGGGTAGGTTTACTTGTCAATAGCTGATGCCGCTGATTCAGCTACAGCGACGTCCAGTCGATCGAGAGAATGCGGTTCGATGTAAACATCGATGTTCTTGCTTGTAGGACTCGTAGAGGATTGAAACAAAAAGCGTTGGTGTGCTGAGACTTCCGTGCTTCTGATAGACGCGCGTTTGCTCTTTTCCAACATAAAGGTTAATTGGAATCAGTTTATCGTGATAGATAATATCGATTGTTTCATTAAGTTGAGATTAATCTTTGACGAGGACTGAGAGGATTTCGATTTTTAATACTGATACGTGAATAGACGAATAATGGCACTTGGTTGTTAAATAAGAGCTGATTAAAAGACCTCTCGTCCTCATATAACCTTCTAATATCTCGAAAAAACAAAATCACCTTTCGAGAACGAAATTACGACACACGGCTATTATTGAATCGATATCCTCCCAGTAAGTTGCGCAATTAATTACTGGAATATTACGTCAAGAATGGCGCGCACGCTATTTCATGATCAAACATTACGGATGGTGAACTTCGAGTATCGAGAGATCTAGGTGATTCATTCTTTGAAGTTCGACACGATAGGGGCTGAAAAGTCGCGTGCGTTGGGCGCGTCGAAGGACGCGAAGGACCGTTCTCTCTTTTCTTTCTCTCTCTCTCTCTCTTTATCTCTCCTTTCTATGGCGAATCATAGCCGCCAGGAAGGCTTTGATCAATGATGCGGTGCAAAATCACCTCACAAAACGCGACGTTAGACAAAGCCTGAGATTTTATCCGGCGTATTCGGGTCAGATGTCGAATAGCCATTCGCCGGCACGTCATTCCTTTGGCGAACCGTATTAAATTACCGGAGAACACACACACACACCCTATCTTCGACTGAGAATATACAGAGTGGACTATGCTTGCAAACGGAAGACAATGCAACGTAGATCACTTCTCCCGAAAGATTCCAAGTTTCGCATCGCGTTCACACGACGAGCAGTGCTTCGTAAAAACAGACGCAATTGCTTTACTGCACTTCATTACATGTGTTGCAAAATATTTGATATGACGCGCGTTATGTCTCGCGCGAATATCTCGAAACGAAAAACACCGATGTAGACTTGAAATCTAGTTAATCCTCCGCGTACAGTCATATTATTTGAGACATACAGTATACACGCAAAAAAAGAACTAGCTTCCAGAGCTAAAAAATAGCTGTGGCAGATAAGATGTGTCACTGAAATAGGGACATCTAATGTCGATACTACCGAAGCTAAATTTATTCGCTGTTTAAACTTAGGCGCTACAGCGAGAAACATTAGCTGCTAGAAACTGTAGCAAATGATTGTAGCTGTGCGGCAAACTTTTTTAATATATGCATACGATAAGAAATTTAGGAATAACTGCCATTTTCTTAGCTATTTGAAATAATGTGCATTTTTAATGTCATCTAATATATTTGTATTTCATAGCGAATGCATTTTAACTGTTATAGTCAATTTTTAGCAGTGACAGCTAAACGATTAGCCTTTTGACTAAGCTAAAAGTGAATTAGCTACCGCAATTTAGCTGATATTACTAAGTCATTTTTTTACGCGCAATCTGGGTCTGTTAAATCCGGGGAACTTTGAACTATCGTAACTTTGTTGAAAATCAATATGTCTAGATACATTTTTTCTAGAGATATAGAAAAATCTCGCCTATAAGATAGTAAATAAATAAAATCAAAATCTGCGCAAACAGATTTGCGCTATTTTATTTTAAAATCTTTGGAACTTTATTCTGAAATTTTTGAAAGTACGTTTTGAAATTTTATTTTTTAATTTTACTTCATTTTGAAATTTTTCTTCGTGGACTTTGCAAAATTTTCCCAGACCCTCTGAAACGAAAGTTGGTGTGCGATTAAATATTCGGGTCTCACAGTACGCAGAGAGTTAAGAATAAGCGCGCATTCACTTTCCATTACTTGCAAGTAACAAAGACACGTCTGTTTCATTGAATATTCATGTTAATTACACGGGGAGTATCTAATGCCGTAGATATTGTTGAAGATTCGAACGGGGCCTGGAATGAACACATTCTCAAACGTCCAGCACAAGAGAAACACGCGATTTAAAATCACGAGAGAAGATCGCCGTCGCCGCATTTATCGAGCGTATAATGGAATGTAATGCGGCTCGTTCTCTCGTACTTCCGTTGCGAGATGAACATCCCGTATTTTATCGCGCTACGTCTTAGTGCATTAGTCCACCGGCTGATCTTTTTTCTCCCCCTCCCGCCCTTCCTTACTCTCCCCCGCTCCCTTGTCCTATATGGAGCGCGCTTCCGGCAAATTTCCAATTTCGCCGGTCGACTTAAGTTCGCGCGAGCGATATTTCCACGTCGTGGCGGCGTAATCGCGATGGGGAGTATTGTGGCGTTCGCTGCTCTCTTCAGCGGGAGCTACGAGCGCTTCGAGAACACGCGGATTTCATCCCGGCCGATGGTTGTGTTTAATCACGTGGAATGATCGACGTGTGACGAGTACATCGCGCGGACGTATATACTCCTTGGCAATATCCTCCCTCCCCCGAGCTCCGGTGGACGAGGAGTACAGCTATTACACGGCTCATTACGGCATTGGCCGCGCATTGCACGTTGCAAGAAAGAGATCACAGAGGGCTCACCTTAAAATCGATGTAGCCGTTTTTGTCCATGTCGAATGTGCGGAAAACGTGGTCGCAGAATTCCTCCGCGTTGCCGGACGGGAAGAACATTTTGTACATGTCGACGAACTTCGCCGGCGTTAACCTGCCGTTAGGGCAGTCTTGCTGTAACATTCCAAGAAGAAATGCGAGATATCGTTAGTAGAATTTTTGCGTTCATTCATTTGCTTGCGAGGGCATCATTTCTTACATTAAATCGATACAGTCAAAAGCAAAAGATAAAAAACAAACCAAAATAAAAACAAGAAATACAGAAAGCAGAAAACAAAAAGAGAAAAGAAAGAGAGAGAAAAAGAAACTTTAAAAAGAAGAAAAATGAGAATAAACGAAAAAAGGAAGAATAAAAATCTTCCCTTAACCAAAGATCCATTATGACTTCTCCCTTTCTCTTCCCAAACCTTTATTTCAACCAAGAATTTATTTTATTCTTAATTACTATAACTTTCAATTCATATCTCTGTTATTCCTATCCAAATATTTGGTAATAATGACAGATTATAAATTATTCTGACAAAATCTTTTTTGTATCCTTTTTTTTATAATTCTCTTCTAAGAATGAATTGTGAAGTGTGAAATATATTATTACAGCTACAATATCGCGCATGAGAAGAGAGCCCAGGACGTGGGCTCAAATATAAAAATGCGTTGAGGTAAATATTCTGCTGAGACAACACACATCTTGCCCCTAAATTGAGCTATTTGACCGAAATGCGACTTTCGTTCCCGTGAAAAATTACGTCGATCTAAGGGGGGGATCTTCATCCCATCGGTTCGCTACGCAACGAGCCGCGACAGCTCGGGCGACTCGCATTATTTCGACATCACGACACCTTCGACGTCGAATCCCTAATCGCGCTCGTCTCAACCCTTTCTGCAACGAGAACGAACGCCATCGCGATATTTTTCAATCTGTCTCTCCGGCCATATTTCTCCGCTCGAGGTCGATACGCGCCGGCGATCAGTCTCCATTTATTTCAACCCGAGTCGACAAAGTCGCGTGTGATTCATTGCGGATTGTGCGGAGCGACGAGGCCGAGAAACGCGACCGGATTGCGGAACGTTCGGCAACGCGACTCCGCTTAGTTTAATTAGTTCGAGCGCCACGAGTTCCGCTGAATTCGCGCCCGTTTAAATCGCTCAGCGGGGGAAAGTGCTGCGCAACTTTTCCACGGTGCACTGACGGCTTCCTCTGGAAACGTCACGTCCTGCCCCCCGCAAAATTCCTCAATAAGAGCTTCGAGATTCGTCCGGGATGAATATTCGTGGAATAAATATCGCGCGCCGAATGGACGAAATATCCAACAACGAACTTCCTCGCGTACACGGAGAAAATATTGCAGTAAAAGAAAATTATATTTATATTTATATAGAAAATTATATTTATATTTATATAGAAAGTTATATTTCTTTCTACAATAAATCTTTTCTGTATATATATGCTTTAATTAATTTGTAAACTTTCCTGCAGAATTATATACGCGGCTAATTAAATATATTGACCTCATTTATTTTTCAGCAAGATTAATTTCTGGAATAATTTTAGTTGTCTTCAAAATTTTTTGTTGTAATTTTCACTATGTTGAGAGAAAAAATAGTTGATATAACTAAAGTTTAGTTTAGCCCCAATCTTTTGTAGATAAAATAATAACAATAACACGCATATATGCGATTATTATCATTAACATTATATTAGAATTTACTTAAAAAATGGTTTATTTTATCCCAAAATTTATAGAAATTACTCCTCTACGTGACTATAGTTACAAATATCAAACATTTCTTGTTAATGTACAACATTTTCTCCTTTGTAATTTTCCATTTCTATTTAATGTCATTTTATACACCGCAGTTTATTCTATTAATCTCGTGTAACGTCATTTTGCCGGTAGAAAGCACAGCCGAATTGACCTCTTTCATTCCCGTGTAAAGCCGCGAATGAGCTGATTTACCGGTGCGTGTCACGCTTTCGTATAAGACGCGTCTGCCTCTTACTTACGTAGTTTCATAACCGTGAGCTTCCGTATGACTTATAACCGTGCTCTCCACGCTCTGTCACGGGTCTGGATCCCGCGAAGAGCCACTTTTTCGCGTTTAACCGAGCACACGAGCGTGCTCGTGAGGACGACGAAGCGTAGGAGCATCGCCGCGTGTTTAATGCGACATAATTGGCAGGTACGAGCGGCCGCGCGCGTATTTATTCCAATTGCCGCATATCACAGATACATCGAATGCATTTGTTACTATACGTATTTGAATCAATTCCATTTGCATCGACTTTATTCCACTAAAGTTCGATTTGGACTCGCAAATTTCGGTTTATATCGCGGCTGCCGTAAACAAGCGTCAGCTGCTATCGATTAACGGGGCGGTTGTCGCGTTCCCGTTTTAACGTGCTACGAAGTCATTGTTGTTTCCCGTTTATTCTCGTCTGCGTCGCAAACGATCGACACGTGACCGTCGATACTCACTTTAAAGCCTTTGTACCATTCCTTTATGGTGGCTTCGTCGTATCGCGTGTGCGACTTGAGGAAGTCCATGTCCTCCTTGCTCAACTTGTCCTTGCTCCCGAAACAACCCATTTTGATACCTGCAACAATCAACAGAATGTTCCATGAGCGGAGGTCGCGCTTCTGTCTCGGGAGAGAGTATTCTCGTGATATCGCGAGACATAGGACGAAGCAACGATTCCCGACATTTCATCGTGTGCACGTAAAGCTGTGCACTTTTCATAAACCACGTGCGCTCCCGATCTCAGATTCCATACGGATAAACGATTTCGCCCACGCTCGCGCATTGCTATCGTCATTTTCGCAAGCAATAAAACTTCCAGCCACGCGACGTATTCTCGTCAGAATCTCCGAGCCAGTCATCGTGCGCCGTGCATATTAATGGCCGCAGAATTATGTCAGCGGCATTGAACAAGTTAAGACCGTAAAATAAGTTGAGAGGCAGTCGGGTGTCTTCCCCTAACTTGATTCTACCCTGGGCTCTGCCCTATATTTCATCGGGCGAAACGCTCACGTATTCCATCTCGACGACGACGACGACGACGATGACGACGATGACGACGGTGAGGATCGTCGATTCGCTTTTCCTCACCGCGAAGTGCTCTTCACAGCTTGCTCGACGACTAGCATCAAGTAAAATAACGTCGTGTAAAATAACGTCATTTTATCATAGCATTGTAACGTATCGTGGCAACAATCGCGAGGATTTGGTTTAAAGAAAAGATATCTCGAAATTTAAAAAGAAAATACTTATTCAATAACATATACTCTAATAACATACTTACTTTAAACTAAATTCTTGTATTTAATAGAATAAACAATTGCTTCCATGAAAAGTTGAGGTTTCGAGAAAATGTATATTTTCTTATTTGAAAGATATTTTATAAAGATATTGGCACAAGTGAATATATGTTATTACTTATATTACCGAATAAATAGTTTTTCTCTCAGTATATATAGGCGTTTTATATAACTTTGACCATTATTTTCTTACTTATGATTATATGAGAATTACGACGAGTACGTGATAAAGTAAGAAGCCTATTAGCGTATCTTATTATATGACATTAAACGTGAGGGACACGTTCACTCTTTTTCTTAAGAATATTACAGTCATCGTCTCGCCCGTGTTTCAGTGGCGAACGAGATGGAAATTTAATACGTTAATTTCCTCCCTGTAAAAAGAAAAAGGAAGAAAAATGAAGAAAAATGCGCCACGCTCTTCGTCGTATAAAATGGGCTTTTAATTTTTCCGGGAAAAGGGAAACCAGGAATTAAAAGCCCATTTTCGTCCGCGATACGCCTGGCTGAGGGACGAGGGAATAATAATGTCGAACAGCGGATCTCTCTCCCTCTCTCTCTTGCAGGATTACACGAAAATATACATAATTGATACCTCGCGCGACGATTCGTAAGTATGGCGACGTATTATTGCAGCGTGTAAGCCGACGATCGTGATAACGGTTAAGCGGAAGCGCTCGTCCATGATAAGGGATCGTACGCAATTTTCGCGATACCGTGCGCCGCTGTTTGCCCGACACACGCACACACGATGCACGCAATGCACCTGCATCGATTGCACTCTCGAGCGAAAGCCGACGTAGCCATATGGATGATGTCGAAACGAAAAGCGTGACCGGCCTGACAATGACGAGCGTCACGAGAGCATATACATATATCCGCGCGTTTTACGAAGGACACGTAGGGGAGATGCTTTCCGAGAGACTCTCAGGATCAGGGTTAATCCCTTCCGCGTTACGACACATCCGCCGGGAATATCTTATCGCGGCGAGCCTCGTTTCAATCCACTCGGCCTTGGTAATAATTTATTTCGCGATCATCTCTCAATGCGGATTTCTTTCTCGATTTATGCGACAGCAGCTGCCATTATCCAGGATTAATGTTGGTTTTCGCTACTTGGAACGATAATTTCTCTTCTCTGCATATAACGAAATGTGCGTTTTCGTGTTCCTCCACTCGAGTCGAAATTTTCATTCTTTACTTTCGGCCATAATACTCTACTTAATACCTTAATACTTTGAGACAATAAGATCTATATCGACCTCTGTTAATCCTATTTAACATCTACCAGCTTTGCCAAGAAGTCCTGTTTAGAACTTATATGTGGCACTTTGTGCGTTTCCATTTAGAAGTGTTAAACAGAACTTTAGTCAGAGTTTTCATGTGTATTAAGCACACATTGCTCCTTTAGAATATACAATTGTTAGAAACTTCAGACCGAAAGTAGGATTAAAATTTCGACTTGGGAATTACATTCGTGCACTTTTGTCATTGTTTATTAGTACAACTATTCGTAAGAGTATCGCGAAACATTTCAAATGCTATAAAAATTACAAGATAGAAGAAGTCTTCTATTATGAATCACGAGAAAACACCCTCATGAATTCCAAACTACTTTCTCCATATCTATTATTAAAATGTAATTTTGCGTTTTCATTTCGTCGGTCGGGTCGGGGGAAATGTTTGAATTGCTGGACAGCGACAGGTTCAATACCGTCAGGGCGGGTTACCCTTTGCGGGCAACTTCGGTTCACCCTCGACAAAGAGAGATTTATAATTAAACGTGACACTAAAATTACGCGAACGGCTGGCGGGGGATAATTTTAGCCGCGAAATTTAATTATAAATCCGAGGGTAGATAAAAGGTAATCTCTCACGGGGCCAGAATAACACATCTGATAATACACTCGCTTCAAGCCCATTTGACGACAGCGCGCCGTGCACAATATCGAGAGTCTGAGAGCTGTATTAAAATAACGACCTGTCGGTAATTTTTCATCGGACACACTGGTCGTCGTTAATTTCATCGGTGGGTCTTACAATCACGCCAGACTGAAAGGACAAGAGACGACGAGAGTCGTGGGACGAGAGTTACACATTACGGCGAGAGGAAGAAGAAAGCATCCGCGACTAAAAGGGACTCGATGGTAGCACGACTCGCGCTCTCTATATACGACGGAGTTACGAGCAGGGGATTAAGAGAGGATTCAAAGGACTATGTTGGGGAGCTGAAAAGACAGCCTGTAGTGATAGGACATTCTCGTGCGCGCATGAACATCGGCAAATGACATTCTTTCCGAGGGATTACAAGAACGTTACTTTTCCCGACTGTAACTTACAGAAAGCGCCTTATCTGCCAATCCTACGCGACCAATATTCCACGTGCCCATTCAAGACCGAGTTCTCCGTTCTCTCCCGAAATTCGACGATCGTTCGCAATTTCCCCGGCCTGCCGTGATATTTCCCGACCGTCTCGAATTTCCCCGACATCTCCGTGTTTCCATCTCCAATTTCCCGGCAACTGCTCGTGGCGAGCCCGACGCTCCCTGCGGCGGACAGCGGGGGGGCCGCGGATGTTGCGTAGACCGCGACAACGACGGGGGAATTAATCGTCACGCTGGCGTCGACACGTTAATGTCGTAATGAGCGATCGATACGCAGGCGGAATTATGAGAAACGTCCGCCTCGAGCGACGTGGGAAGTCGCTCCACGGGGACGTGGAGGAAACGCAGGGATCGTGATCTGCGTTAAAAACGACCGATGAGAGTCGATGAGGGCGGCCGATTTAATGGGCGGTCGACACACATTCCCAGCGTTCGGGAACGCCGTCTCGCGAAACGCAACACGTAAACGTAATTAACGCGACGCTGCCCTTTGCGGCGGTGGTAGCGGCGGCGCCGCCATCCGACCGCCGATGAAGTCGCGCCCGGCTATTTAGAAGATTAAGCACGGGAACGAAGATTAACGGCGACCCCGCGCCACGAAAGCCACGCGACGTGTACGTGCCCGAGTTTCGAGGAGGTCCTTGATTATTCCGCGACCGAACCACTTGAGTTAATGCGCGCCGCAAACGCGGCACGTTGCCGCAGAAACTTTCAGTTTCCCGCCCCCGAAGAAATTGCATCCCCGGGGCCCGCTTTCTCTCTCGCCCTCCAGGCGCTGGTGCCGCCGGGTCCGCGTTTTCCAACGCAAGCACTTTAAACTGTTGCTACAGGAGAAGTCGGGTGCGCGTTCAACGTGTATTAATGCCCGTCGCGTGAGGTTAGCGTTAGCCGGCACGTTGCGAGAATACCGTGGAAAAATATACAGCAACGAATCCGCCGGAAAGAATTTATCGATCGCGCCGTCGTGCATACGGGAGAGATTGTAGCTGCTAATGCATCTTCCCTATCCCCTTTCCCCTTCTGCGGCAGGGAGATCCTTAAAAACTTCGGTAAATAAGTTAAGGGACTAGCTCGTAACGAGATTATAGTCCCGACGCTTCTGTTGTGCACGCGTGCGTGCGTGTGTAGTTGAGTACTTCGATAATATCGAGAGGCGCGGAATTAATTGAAAGCGAATGTGCTTTTCGTTAATTTTATTTCGCGTCGAAATCACTCTGAGAAAAAAGTACTTGAAAATTTATTTGTGGAGTGTAAGGTTTGTTCACACAGAAAGAAATGAATTTAATCTCATAGAAGTAAATTTTATTTCACAGAAATCAACTTTATATCTCACAAATAAATTTTTAAGTGTTTTTTATCAGTGTGTGTTAGGGTCCATCTACATAAGTCACAAAATGCGTTTTAATTTTTTGTGGCTTATATACACACAGAAAATGTCATTCTATTGCTAAGGAAACCGATTATCTACATTAAGAAAAAGTATTTGAAATTTTATTTAGGAATATATAGTTTATTTCTGTGAAGTAAAATTTATTTCTGTGAATAAATTATATATAATAAATGTTCAAGTATTTTTTCTCAGTTCAGCTTACTTTCCTTCTTTTGCGTAACGGTTATATTCAACAGAGGATATTTTATTGATAAGAAAGTTTTAAAATATACTCATCACACATTTAGAAAAGTTCATTATTGCACGGAAAAAAATGTTTGGTTGAATTAACCAAATATCTCGAATATGAACGATCCAGAAATTCCGATTGAAGTAACTCGAATTCTGTTTAAGTTAACAAGATTTTTGGTTGACTTAAACAGAATTCGGGTTACTTCAATTGGAATTTCTAGATTGTTCATATTCGACCAGATATTTGGATAATTCAATCAAACCTTTTTTTCCG